TACGAACTGTAGATCTGCTATATTTCACTGACAATCATTTTAATAGCCAACATTACGCCAAGTGATAATTTACTAAATATATACCAGGACTAAATGAACTTTCGGTAAAATGACTGTCAGTGAAGTGATCAATGTCGATGAAACTATGCAAAAAAAATATTTTCGTTTTAAAAATAAATGCATAAATGCCAGAACATGCCAGAAACTAGTAGTAATGGTGCTTCAAATGGCGCGCCTACGCACCAAAAAATCTGTTGGTGCACCATTGGTGCATCATTAAAATTATACCTGCACCAACAATCCTAGACGTAATGCCCGTGGGATATTTTTTGATATTTTCACAGCATTACGTCATCATAAAAATATCATCAGAAATGTTCATGGGCGAACATTAGGGCCATGGAATATGTAAAAATATACACTGATCATGCCGAAATCAATAACTTAATCGAATCGGCCGAAAAATCATTCGGCAAATTTTTATCAGGTGTTTCAGAATTTATGAAAACAGCCGTAGGGCGGGTCACATGATTATATCCGAGCCTGTTCGGATCGACTTGGCTCAGAGCCAGCTTGAGCCGCTCAATTATAAGCCGTTCCTATCCCTAGTGTTGGAAAATTGGGCAAGCAATGTAACATATCAAAAATTCTATCAGAGGCGTAACAAGAATATTAGCAAAGAACAAGATAACAGCATCAATCTTAAACCAAGCAAGAATCTGATACTCCAAAACGGTACTCGTAGTCATGGTGAGAATTAGAACAGAGTTTCATTTATACGAATGGATAAGTATAGCGAGGTTCATTTGGAAATGAAACAAAGGACTAAGAATCACTAAGATCACATGTTAGCCTCCTTCCACACCCCTCAAGCACTAATTGCACTATTTTTTTTTATAAAAAAAAGAGGCTTTATTTATTATGCATAATTTTTAAATATTATATTTTATTAGATTGTAGATAGTTATATATAGAATTTTAAAGCATAATTTAGTAGTTGGAAATATAGGTATATCACGTGAATAAACGGCCTAGAAAAAGAGAAAGGTCAATCACGGGTCTATATATACAAAAAAAAGTATAATATGGGTCTTTGCCTTAAAATCACCTTCACATTTCCGATCGGTTAATTCGGACAAAAATAAACATGAATACCGGTTCATGTTCATATGTTAACCATCTTTTAACTTTATTGTTCAATAGTTTATCGAATAACTATTGAGTCAATAAAGTAAGGCCATGCAAAGTTGATTTTTCGTTTAGCATTACCCGCCGACCCAAATTTTTCAAAATCCCTATTTTTTTTT